TGTATCGCAGAGTTCATAGCCCACACCGAGCCTCTTTATATTTCCTTTCCTCTTCTGGCCCTTCTTCTCAGGCTTACAGATTACCCACACAGACCAACAGTGACTGGAAGTTCATGTCCGATTGCCACTTTACCCACAGACCAGCCCTTCTCTAGTCTACTGTCATCATAGCTACCCCTCCCCCCAAAAAAAAATATCTGTTTTCCTTGCAATTTCAAAAACTTGACTTGGGTCGGTCTTGTGTCCCACCAGCTTCATCCTTTGTGGCCGATGCCTAACCTGGGGAAGGGCTGTGCCTCAGGTCTCATCACCCGCTCTGTGGATTTTTGAGATGGAGCTGCAAAACCAAAGCAGTTCTTTCTGGAGCCCTGTTAGTTCTGGGGGGAACCTCTGGCCAGGTTGGTCCTTCCGCTGATTTCTCTTAGCTCTCCTGTTATTGTCAGTCTCAATGCATAGCTGTAAAGGCATTTGAAGTCCTCTCTTTGGCAAAGAAACACTGGCAAATTCTGGCATTTCTAGATCTTGCTTGGCATACGAATGTGCATGCAGCAGGTAAGAAGATAAGCATACGTAGTTCAGAGGTAGGTCTGCTTTCTTTTTTTAAATTATATATTTTTTATTGATTTCAGAGAGGAAGAGAGAGAGAGAAACATCAGTGGTGAGAGAGAATCAGGGATCAGCTGCCTCCTGCCCACCTCCTACTGGGGATGGAGTCCACAATCCAGGCACGTGCCCCGACCAGGAACAGAACAGTGACCTCCTGACTCATAGGCCAATGCGCAACCACTGACCCACACCGGCTAGTGGTGAGTCTGCTTTCTTGATAAAGACAATTGATCCACTTTAATTTGACACACTGACAAGATGCTAGGCAGCAAAAGTGAGAGGAGGAAAGAGAATGAAGAGCAATTACATGCCCTACGGGCACTTGACATACGTTGACGCGTTTAATCCTCACAATTATCTGCAATTATTAGCCCTGCTCTTAGAAGAAGGAATTGAAACTGAACAAGTCTTAGTAACCTGCTACGGTCACCCTACTGGGAGAGGCCCTCTTCTTTCCACTACTCAAAATTCCCAGCCAGGGTGCCGGGGTGGGAGCCCATGGAAATATTGGGGTGTGGTGGTTGTATGACTATTCCCAGGAAGCAGCCAGAGCTACCCAGTTGTTCCTCCAAGTCCCTCTCCATCTGCACCCGTGTCTTTGTGTGCTTGTGTGCCTGTCTGAGGCTGTCTGCAGACATATGGATCACAGGTTCCTGCCCCATGAATCAGACAGGCAGGCAGTTCAGAGAGTCTTCTCCCCTCGGACCTGTGGCCCTCCCCGTGCCAACTGGAAATGTGGGTGTGGGGAGTCTATTGGGCACTGGCATGGTGGAGGGATGGAGGAGAAGCTCGGGCGGGATGTGTAGGACCAACAGCTACTCTGAGGATTCTCTCCAATGTGGAGACGCAGCCGTGGGGAAGGGCTCAGTGAGGAGACGTGCCTGTGCGTGGCCTGAGCCAGTGCCCATCCATGAGCTCACCGTTTCAGAATCGGTGCAATGGAAAACCCACTGTTTAGCCTACCCAAGGTCCTACCTGTGCCCTGCCTGGGAATCGAACCAGCAACCTTTCACTGCATGGAATGACCCCCCACCAACCGAGCCACACACCCACTAGGGACCAAACTTCATTTCTTTGTGAGCTTAACTGTGTCTTCACATTTTAAGTCACTGGACTAGTCATCATATGGTTTGGGGATTATTGGCTCTGCATTAAAAAAAAAAAAAAAAAAAAAAAAAAAAAACAACCACCACCAAGTGATATTTATATTTTACAAATAAACACCTTGCAACGATGTGTGTCAATAGATCAGCATACATATTACTATATTCGGAACATACCTATGTTTGTGTGTACCTAGGAACCATGACGAAGTCTATCTCTACAATTTGGGGTGGACAGCTGTGAGGGGAGACTTCATTATATGTTTCTGAGCTGTTTTAAGTCCCTGGCACTCCCCTGGGCACCAGCCTGCCACAAAGGTACTCCCAAAGCGGCCAAACATTTGACAGGAAACTATTTCTAGGTACAGGATACACACGGTCATGCGAGAGCCATCCTACTACAGCAAAACGCTGGTGAGGGTCGTTGGTAGGAGGGGAAAAAAAAAACGATCAGGAAATGCATTCATTGCTGTCACTTTTGCACGCCTTCTATCTACCGCAAAGATGTTTGCTTAAACGATGTCTTCAGTTTAGCACAGTCCTTACTCGCTCTCCTGGGCAGATCACATGCCTGCATTCTCACAAGCGAACGTGCAGGGTCCAAGGGCGGCCGGCAGCTGTCTTCAGTCAACGTGGCCACATAGTGCGAATTCTCGGGAAAAGAGAAAGACAAACTTCATACATAGTGTTACACATGATCCGCCCTCTCGGAAACCAAAGGACACACACCTCCTCATCCCCCCCGCAAACTGCGGCTCTTTGACCCCTTGAGTGTGGCTCCCCAACGAAATACCGCAGCCTGGGCGAGTCTATGTTGAAGAAGTGGCCGTTAGAAGAAGTTTAAGTTTAAAAAACTTGGCTCTCAAAAGAAATTTCAATCGTCGTACTGTTGATATTTGGCTCTGTGGACGAATGAGTTTGCCGACCACTGCACTGATGGATACAATGGCTCCTGTTCTTAAAACCTGAATTTGATCAGTAGCCAGCATATCAATACGTGGCTGGACTATCTCACAGAGCTTTTGTGCAAATAGAAGATGAGAGTGTGAGTGTGCTTTGTGGAATTAAAGCTCTGGACCAGTGCTGTTCTGTTGGAAATCAGGTCGTGTCTGAAAGCAGAAAAAGACAGCAAGCAGCTGGCTAGTGTCTGTTTCGTCTCACGTTCCTGCGCCCCATGGGTCTGCCTTTAGGGAGACTTGGTGAGCTGCAGACACACATGCCCGCCCTGACACCCGTTCCACCCTTGCTTGTTCCTTCCGCACCCTGGAGACAGGCACCACACACCCCACACGCACACAGCGCCTCGCCGCAGTGACTGGACGTATGGGCAGCGGAGAGCAGCGGTCCTCCTGATGCCCCCAAACATTGACTGGCGTCATGTGGCCTTGTGTGTGCATGCCCCAGACATCAGAAGGCGCTCTAGCTAGCTGGTGGGAGACAGTGCGGCTTTGTCACAAGTCACATCAGATCGTTGGGTCAAGAGCCCTGAAACTATAGACTTCGGTGAAGGCTGTTGCCTTAAATCACTATCATTTATCAGACATTGGTTTTTGTTTTTTTTTCTTTCTTTTTTTTAAATGAAGGTTTTCATTAAGTTTAAGCATAAGCTTTATGGCCCAAGCTATCTATAACAACAAAAGCATAATATGTTAATTAGATTGGACGGCCCAACGACCTTTGGGACATCATTCCTTCCTGACGTAGCTGTGGCTGCAAGGGCTGAGGCAGAGGTGGTTAGGGGCAATTAGGCAGGCAGGTGAGTGTTTAGGGGCATCAGGCAGGAATGCAGAGTGGTTAGGGGAATCAGGCAGGCAAGTTAGCGGTTAGGAGCCAGATTGCGAGAGGATGCAGGCTGGGCAGGCTTCCTGCCCCTCCCCTCTTTGCATGAATTTCATGCACTGGGCCTCTAGTTTTAAAAATAACAGCAATTACTTTCAACCTACCAGAGAACAGGAGCATCCAAAAAATTGTCTTTCCCTGAATTAATTGCTAAGATTAGTGTAATTCTTATCATATTTTCATTCCCACTTGAGGGCTCCCCGTATTCCCTCAAGGCTCTCCTCTACACTCAGTCACTTACCTGCCGCAATGTCACCTTTCCCAGGAGGCCTACCCCTCCCCTTCTAAAACACCTGACCAATCTTCACAATCCACTATCATTGTCCTCATAGAATTCATCACCACCTGGCATCATACATTTATTTCTTTACTGTCTACTTCCCAGACTGAAATGTAAAGTACCATGAAGGTGGGACTTTATAGTATTCACTGCTATCTCCCCAGCCTTAGCCCAGGCTGTGGCCCACCATAGATACTCTTTAAACACGTAAGGCAAGGTTGAATACAGGATTGGATGAATGCATGTAGAGATTCCCTTTCACCCTGTGTCCCACCCACTCCTTCTCCACAGGTGATCACTGTGAATAGTCTGGAAACTAACTTCCTGGGCTTCTTTAAAAAAAAAAAAAGGCATTTGCAAACGCAGACACACACTTTTTTATGATAATGCAAATTGTTCTATTCCTTCATTTTCTCTCCATAATATATTTCTGAAATTTTCTAATGGCAGCTTATAGGTAGTTTACCCATCGGTGTAAATAGGTCTTCTTCACAATTACATTGTAGTCCATACTATAGATGTACCACGACTTACTTAACCATTTTCCTATTGATAGATACTAGTATATGGGTCACTTCCCCCTGTTCACGATTATAAACAAGGCTGCAGTGAATTTGCTTGTACTTAAATCTTTGTGCCCATCGCAGATAGGTCTCAAATGATGAAATAGCCTGGCCCACATTTTAATAGATACTGCTTACTTTGTCCTTCTCAAAAATTATACTGTTTTACACACTCGCCAATAATATATGAGGGCCCATTTCTCCATATCCGCAAAATACCCAAGTTTGTCTATTACGGACCTAGGTTGGTTTTCTCAAGTGTGTGCTGCTAGCTTTTTCTGACTACTTTTTCACCTGCCCAGTCCTACTGGCCCATGTCTCTGAACCCATAAGTTGGGGGATCAGAAGACAGGGGGTGGGGGAGAGCCACTGAAAACCCCAGGTGCTTCTGGCTAGGGGGGACTCGAATGTCCTCCCTCACCAGGCTGAGCGCAATGCACGCTTGCTGCCCACCCGGCCATTACAGGTCTTGAGTTGCTGCTGCTTCTCCTCCCTCCTTCCCATCTGGAGGCCCCGCCAGGCAGGGTCTCAGCAAGTGGTCCTCCAAGGGGCCTGGCCTCCTCCTTCCCTGGCCCCCCTGGGTGACCTGCCTCCCTGCTTGTCTTCCAGGCCCCGCCTCCCTCCGGGCATACCCTCTCCTCTCCGTGATCACCCGACAGCCCGCCGTCATTTCTCACCTGGTCCCCGCCACCCCGGGAATCGCCCAGACGCTATCCCGCCACCCCGCTGCCCCCGAGGCGGCCCCCGCTGAGGCCCCGGGCGGCGAGGCGCTGGGCAGCAGCGAGTCCGAAACGGAGCAGCTCACCCCTCGGCAGAAGAAACCTCGCCGGAGCCGCACCATCTTCACAGAGCTGCAGCTCATGGGCCTGGAGAAGAAATTCCAGAAGCAGAAGTACTTGTCCACCCCGGACAGGTGAGGCTCCGGGAGAAGGCAGGCTGTCCACAGTTCAGGGCCTTGAGAGGGGAGACCCCTTTTGCTCACGCCATGGCACACCCAGGCACAAGGACTGGGACATCCAGGATGCTGTGGCAGGGTCTGGTCCTTGGCCCACATCTTCTCAGCCTTGGTAGGACAGCAGCCAACCCAGAGGAACCTGCCTGTTGCCGAACTTGTACTCCTCACTGTCTCTCCCTATTTTAACGTAACCACTCCAGTGTAAGCAGGAAGGTGTCGTTTAGTAGATGGTTGGGAAGCAGATTGGTTTGTGCAGTCTCTCGCACCCAGGACCAGATGCAGTGGGACCTGATGGGGAGCTGGGATCCATGCTCTCAGCCTTCTCCTCACAGGTCAGCTCCTGGTGGACAGGCTGGATGGACAGGGTGGAGGAGCTGTCAGATGTCTTGGTGCGTAGGATGGGTATCAAGTCAGAGGCACTAAAAGGACTTGGATCAGATCCCTTTCTTAAAGCTTGAGATCCAGACGAGGGGACTGTGGCACCTGCTTCCTCAGAGGCTGTAGCCTCAGCCTGTGCTTTAACTTAGCATCTTAACAGCAAAATACCCAAAATACTCAATGTTTTGTCTTGTTCCTCAAACTCCCTCTGGAGAAGGCTGAGCTTGTGTTTTTTTTTTGTTGTTGTTGTTTTGTTTTTATATTTTTTATTGATTTTTTTTTACAGAGAGGAAGGGAGAGGGAGAGAGAGAAACATCGATCAGCTGCCTCCCGCACACCCTCGACTGGGGATGTGCCCGCAACCAAAGTACATGCCCTTGACTGAAATTAAACCCGGATCCTTGAGTCTGCAGGCCGACGCTCTATTCACTAGAGAACAATTTTGGTTAGGGCTAGAGAACAATTTTGAAGGTAGAAGGGACAGAATAGATCTTGCCATGAGGAAGAGAAACAGGGTTGAGCATTCTGGGGTACCTGGATGGAGCCACCGGGGAATCAGGGGCATCATGACCTAAAGTTGGAGGGTGGGGACAGAGTGGGTTTTGCAGACAAAGAGTGAGTTCTGGTTGGACGTGAGCGTGTGATGGACAGTGGAGACGAGTCTGAGTATTGGGGATCGATAGATGGGATCTCTAGGTACCAAGGGCAGCATTCATGCCCAGCATGTAATGAAGAGACTCACATACCTGAGCAGCCAGGTGGAGTGGGCACTGCGGGGTGGTCTATTAAAAGGCCTTCAAGGTGCACAGGTGCCATTTTCGGCTTAGAAGTCAGAGGATTTTTATTTTTATTTTTTAAATATATATTTTATTGATTTTTTACAGAGAGGAAGGGAGAGGGATAGAGAGTTAGAAACATCGATGAGAGAGAATCATCAATCAGCTGCCTCTTGCACACCCCTTACCAGGGATGTGCCCACAACCAAGGTACATGCCCTTGACCGGAATTGAACCCGGGGCCTTTCAGTCCGCAGGCCGACGCTCTATCCACTGAGCCAAACCGGTTTTGGCAAAGTCAGAGAATTTTTAAACAGAAATGGTAGTTCCCAGCCAAGCTCCTGAGCTTCCTGCTCCCTGCCCAGGCGGCTCTCAAGTGACCTACTCGGGACTGATGAACTTCCCCGGGGAGGAGGACACCGCAAGGCTAGCATCGGAGCTGCTGCCTTAACCTGCCTTCAGGCATCCCTCACCTCTGTACGTGACCAGGGCCATGAGCACGGCCTCCTCCCACAGCTCGCTCCCTCGTCCTCATTGTTTGTTTCTCCGGTTTCCTAGGTGACTCTGGTTAAGTGAATACGCAGGGAAGTGAGAATTTGTAACGGTGGCAGGTAATGAGAGGAAGCCGATGACAGTGAAGTGTTTCTCCAGCCAGAGCGAGCCAAGGGTGCATTTTTCCCAAGTGAGCTAACCCGTGTGCTAGCGCGATGACGGGGCTGTGAACTGGATCTTCCACTGACGACTGCCCCTGATGGCCTCTGGTCATTCGGCTCTGGAGCTCAGCAGGAGCCCGGGGGGGACCCGTCTCCAGGGAGGCTAGAAGGCCTGGGGTTTGCCCCCTGGGTTCTTCCTGAGTGGCTCTCTTTGAGCCTCCGATCTCTGTCTGTACAATGGGAATAATTATACCTATTCCACAGTGTTATGAAGGGAATAAGTAAGATAGCGCATGTCAGGGGCTTAGCACATAGCCTGGGCGCTATGGTACCCAGGCAACCATTGCTGTCTTGCTGGAAATTGCTCCGACGGCACCTTTCCCAGGAATGGTTTTGACACTCAAGACTTTCAGAAGGCTGCGAAGACTTGCTGAACCACAGGAAGCAGGAGGGGCTGCAGACTTAATGTGTATTTTTTGGGGGGGGAATCTGGCATCATGACAATAATTTAGGGAAGCAACAGTGAGCCTATCAGAAAGCGTGTTTGAGCCACCGTTCTGGATTTAGAACGTGACAGGCATGTTCGTGGTTACGAAAGACGCAGAGGACGTACTCTGCTCTTGCAGTTGAATTAGGGAGGCAGCAATCACTGATGTGAAGCAATAAGAGACCAGCTGGGAACGTGGAGCCACCTGGGTGGTGGCTGGCCTGGAGGAGGGGGTAGAGGAGACATCCCGCCTGAGCTGGGAGTGTCCAGGAGGCTCGCCTGCATGAGGTGGGACTTGAGCTGGACCTGGAATGATGAGTGGGATTCCAATTAGGGAAATACGGCTTCTGGGTCAGAAGCTTCATTTTGTCCAGAATCAGAGGAAGGCTTTGCAGGAAAAGGACTTCGCAATGAAGACTCACGTAGACAGTCCTTGGACCTCCGCCTCTAGCTTCCCAGAGTTTCAAACATTGGATTTTTGGAAGGAAAGCAAGGCTCTTTGAGGAAGAATTGGTTTTAAAGGGGAAGGCCTGAATTTCAACCCAGTTGCCAGGATTCCATCTCTACCACCCTTTCTCTTCCTCCTCATCTTTCTTTTGTTCCTTTTGCCTTCTAGGTTGGACTTGGCCCAGGCTCTGGGACTCACCCAACTGCAGGTGAAGACCTGGTATCAGAATCGCCGGATGAAATGGAAGAAAATGGTAAGAAAGGAGAGAGGGAATCCAACCAAGAGCCCATCATGGCAGAACGAATCCTTCCGGAAGGGCTGGGAAGAAGGCAGGGAGGACCACGTGGTTTGGGCTCATGGGATCGGAAGGCCTTTTATGGCGCCGGCTGGGAGGCAGGCGGTGTGAGCAGAAGGATAAGCCATGCCTCCTGACCTGGATTTCCTGATCAGAGGGATGTCCTTTTCTGGTTTCCTTAGAAATAACAGAAAGTGAAAGGCCACAAGCTTCTCAGTTGCTAGATTTACCCCCACCTGCTAGCCTTTTCAAAGCACTTCCTTCCGCCTCCCACCCGCAGCTAAGAATAGACGTCAGGACTCTTTGTGGATAATGACATCCAGGGCACATCTGTTCTCATAGCTGTGTGTCCTCTAATGCAGGGATTCTCAAACTCAGCGGGCACCAGAGTGACCTGGGTGGCAGGTGACAATGCACAACCCAGGCCCCTCCCAGGACTCTGAGTCCCTGTCACAGGACGGGGTGGGAATGTGCACTATCAAGCACTCAGGTTCCTCTGATTCACGTGGTGGAATGGCTGCCTTTCCCTAATACTGATCTAGTGCCTGGCTCATGAATCTGTCCATCTTTGTTTTTTACTTATTTTTATTTTTAAATATATATATCTTATTGATTTTTTACAGAGAGGAAGGGAGAGGGAGAGTTAGAAACATCAATGAGCAAGAAACATCAATCAGCTAGCTGCCTCCTACACACTCCCTACTGGGGATGTGCCCACAACCAAGGTACATGCCCTTGACTGGAATCAAACCTGGGACCCTTCAGGCCACAGGCCAATGCTCTATCTGCTGAGCCAAACAGGTTAGGGATATTTATTTTAGTTTTTAAAAAATATTTTTATTGATTTCAGAGAATGGGGAGAGACATAGAAACATCACTGATGAGAGAGAATTATTGATCAGCTGCCTCTTGCATGCCTCACACTGGGGACCAAGCCCTCAACCCGGGCATGTGACCTGACTGGGAATTGAACCATGACCTCCTGGTTCATGGGTCACCACTCAACCACTGAGCTATGCCAGCCAGGCCCATCTTTGTTTTTTAAAAGAACTTATTAGAGTAGATATCACTGAAAGAAAGAATAAACATCAGCATTTGAGGAACTCAATTTTTATAGTAACTTATGCCTCTTCTTTTTAGAGTCATGTTAAATCAGAGTTTTCCAAAGTAGTTGAGTGTTTCATTTCCAGTTTTGTAAACCACAAGAGACAAGGTCAAAGCCCAGAGGAAAGGGGCGGGGCCTGATGAGGGTGGGAAGAAACTCTGCTCCATTCTTCAGAGACCAGGTACGGCAGGGCGTCGGACCTGGCCCGTTCTCCTCTCATGAGGACCAGGTCTGCCGGGATGATGTTCTAACTTGCTAATCCATCTGGTCACAAGCCATAGTTCCTGGTTGTTTTAAGGATTGGTATATGAAGTCTTTCACCTTTACCAAATAACTTAGGATTTCCCATCCATCCCCCAGCCTAGTTTTCAATCGGTATTTTTTATTAGGTGGTAGATATTAAGACACTTTCTCAATTTTATATTTTAGTCCAATAATCTTGCCAGGCCTGCTAACAATGAGAAAAATAAGTAAATAAACCACAAATGGATATTCATGGAAAAAGTAGAAAAAGGCCAATCAGGTAGCATTTATTATATATCCTGAAAGGAACTCTGGGGTGAAGTTCATAATTTCCGTTGGGGGGTCCTGACCTCATGGATGGAAGGATTTTTGGCTCATGAAATGCTCTCCAGGTGAGATGGAGGTGCCAGTTGCATGTACAAACATAGATTGCATGATTCAACACACATGCAATTAGCATCTCTTGTGAACCATGCCTTGTGCTGGGCACTGGAGGAAGTATTGAAATAAAATATAGCCCTTCATAGAATTTATGATCTCGTGGGAGAATCAAGGTCCAGGAAGCAGTTGGGGATGACATTTTAATGAAGTCCTGGTTGTTGATTTAAAGATGTAACACCCCAAAAGAGTTCAGAAGAGAGGTATTGGGGACAGCAGCGGCAGGGAGATGTTGAAATTGAAGGATGAGTGGGATTCTGTTGACTAAGTAATTACTCTAGAATTTCTAGAATGCTAAGGCACTCCTGAGGCTGATGGTGGGAACCTTTGGGGGAATATTTCTGGACGAATCAGGTTTGGGAGTTAGAAACTCTGTTCCCAAGCATGCCCCTCCCTGGCAGATTTTGGGCAAGTCCCTTCGCTGCTTTCTGTGCAGGTTCCACCGCCCACCTCCTTGCCTATCCATCATCGTCATGGAAATCAGTGTCCCCGGAGCGGCGGAGGCATTGTTTAAATTGGTTATCAGCAATCTCTCATGAGTCAGATGATTAGGGAACCGACAGCCTGCCCTCTCTGCCAGCACCGCCCAATGCCCGTGGGACCACGCGTGTGCCCTGGCCTCTGACATCACTTGTTTTTCACCAGCTGGTTATTGATGGTTACCAGTGCCCTATAGAACAAGATGGAAGGCACTTAGCCTTAACCGCAGAGAGCATTGCACAGGCTAGCCATATTTGGGTTCCTGGAGGAGACGAAAGTGCCCAGTTTTCAGTTACCTGCAGCAGCCATTCACTGAGCACAGGCAATAGAGGTGCCAAGATAAGACATGCACCCACCCACTAAAAAAATAACATGAGAGCCCTGGCCAGTGTGGTGCAGTGGATAGAGCGCCAGCCTGCATACTGAAGTGTCCCAGGTTTGATTCTGATCAAGGGCATGTACCTAGGTTGCAGGCTCAAATCGTCCTCTGGGAGGGGACCCCCTCAATGCAACCTTCCTCTTCCTGGCCCTGGTTGGGGGGCATGCAGGAGGCAACCAATTGATGTGTCTCTCTTTCATTGATGTTTCTCTCTCTGTCTCTTCCCCTCCCTTATATACTCTCTAAAAAATCAATGGAAAAATATCCTTAGGTGAGAATTAACAAAACAAAAAAAAATTATAATAAAATTAAAAAAGGTATTCAGGCCAAAACGGGTTTAGCTCAGTGGATAGAGCATCGGCCTGCGGACTGAAGGGTCCCGGGTTTGATTTCAGTCAAGGGCATGTACCTTGGCTGCGGGAACATCCCCGGTAGGGAGTGTGCAGGAGGCAGCTGGTCGATGTTTCTCTCTCATCGACATTTCTAACTCTCTATCCCTCTTCCTTCCTCTCTGTAAAAATCAAAATATATTTTTTTAAAAAGAAAAAAGAAAAGTTATTCAGTCAAGGAGGGGACAGAGACCTGTAAACTAGTCATTATACGCAACAGCAGAAGGATTGACAGGATTCAGAGGTGTATAGAGAAGGGGGGGGGGGGGAGCATAGAAGAGGTGCCCTCTAAGTTGGTGCTAGAGGATGGATAGAAAGGTGCCAAGTGAAGGTGGGAAGAGTGTCACAGGCAGAAGAAAGGGACAGGAGTATTGAGGGCACTCGAAGGACTTCGGAATGGCCGGGGCTGAAGCGTGAGGGCTGTTGTTCAGTGGAGGGTCTGAGCTCTGACCCCACCCTTCCCCCCAGAACAGCGAGGCATTGTTGGGCTCCTGATTGCTTCATGCGTTTTCCTGGTGAAACGCTGTCAAGGCTATCTATCTCTTCAGGTACCGGGAAGGAAAGAAAAAGCTAATTGGGTAATAAAGATGTCTCAAGGCTAGTCACCTAATTGGAACTGGAAAAAGATTAGCGCTTGATTCTCAGAGTTATTCGCACGGCTGCCAAGGGCAGCACTGCCAAAACCAAGATTGCATCTCTGACGAGTTTTTACCGGTCAGCGCTGGGAACCTGTAGCGGGTTGGGTAAACGCAATCTTGCACACGAGATGGGACACTCTATTCTGGCTGTGTTTGGCTTTTGTTCCAGGAGGACTCACAGGGTTTTGCAACAGGCACAAGAGAGTCATCATCAGTGGCCTTTTTTTTGGCTCTGAAATATGACGCAAGCAGAACTGTGCTCTAGGAGGGGAACATGGATAAACGGGGGGTGGGGGTGGGGGTCGCATCCTCATCTTTTGCAGTGAAAGTCTCCCGATAACAAACAGTTCCGTGAAATTGCTCCCAGCTGCCATCTGTGTCGTCTTGTGCAGGTGACTTAACTTCTGTGTACCTGCTTCCTCGTCAGTAAAAGCCTAATATATTCCTTAAACGGTGAGCTAATCCTTGTAACACTTCGAGCAGCGCCTGCCACATGGTACATGACCAAGAAGTATTCACTGCTACTCTTTTTCTCATTATTATTCTTTTAAAAAATTATTTTAAAAATCTTTATTGTTGAAAATATTGCATGTCCCCCTTTTTCCCCTTGTACCTCTTCTAGCCCGTCCCTGACCCCCACCCCAGGCCTTCACCACCCTATTGTCAGTGTCCATGGGTTAGGCATGTATGCATACAAGTTCTTTCGTTGACATTATTATTATTTTTAATATATTTTTATTGATGTCAGAGAGGAAGGGAGAGGAAAAAGGAGAGATAGAAACATCAATGATGAGAAAGAATCATTGATCGGCTGCCTCCTGCGCACCCCTCACTGGGGTTTGAGCGCACAATTCGGGCATGTGCCCTGACCAGGAATTGAACTTCTTGGGTCATAGGTTGACACTCAACCACCGAGCCACGCTGGCTAGGCTGTTACTATTTTTTAAAATTATTTACCTACCCATGCAATTCACATTTCCAGAGAATCCAGACTATTGGCGGCCAGAAGAGATAAGCCAGTGTCTGGAACTCTGGTTAAGCGCAGCCCCAGGTATTTGCGGTTCCTGCCCTCCCCACACGCCAACCAGCTGCACCCTGTGAGCTCCTTAGCGCCAGGGCTTGTGATGTCCTGGAAATGCCCCCTCCAAGAGGAGAAAGCCCACTGAGCCATGTCCTGGGATCCGAACTTGCTTCCCAGCTTTGTGGACCCAGCCATGAGTTACGTGGCCCTCCCTTTCCCATAGAGCTGTAGGGAAACTTCGAGCCAAAGGAGCCCGGAGCTCTCCCGCTAATGAGCCTGTGGCCCGGGCTCTGCTGGGAGGTGGGGTAACGGCAGATGAACACTGGAAAGTCAGAAACCACAGCGGCACAGTGTCCGTATCCCTCGCCCATTGTGCACAGTGACACGCTGGGAAGGGTGTTAGATTCAAATGCTCGGGGGTTTTGTGTTCAAATCTTGGCCCTGCCCTGGGCTTGCTCTCTGACTGCGATGAACCAACTCTGCCTGCTCAGCTCAGGTTCCTATCTAAATAATGGGGGAGCCGAAATCGGTTTGGCTCAGTGGATAGAGCATCAGCCTGCGGACTGAAGGGTCCCAGGTTCGATTCCGGTCAAGGGCATGTACGTTGGTTGTGGGCACATCCCCAGTGGGGGGGTTGCAGGAGGCAGCTGATAGAGATGATTCTCTCTTATCAATGTTTCTAACTCTCTATCCCTCTCTCTTCCTCTCTGTAAAAAAATCAATAAAATATATTTTTTTTAAATTATATATACGGTATATATAATGGAGGAGATAGAAGGCCACTCCCTGCACTGACATTGTGGGCTCGTTAGTCAAAACTGCCAGTCCCCCTGCTAAGCACCTTGGACAGGAAGCAAGGCCTTGTCCTGCGGTCTTTAGCAAGAGGACATTTGATCTAGTGTGAGTGCTCGGAGGAGGTCTGTCCTTGGGCATGGCTATCAGAAGGAGATGGTGTGTTAAGTGTTTTGCCCAGATACAGGGGACCTTGTGTGCAATGGGTTGTCTGCCCTCGCGGGCCCGAGGAGACTAAAGGAGGCTCCGGGAATAACTGGGGAGCAGGAGTCCCGGGGGGAAGGGCCACGGGGTGCATGAGAGCGGGGTGCAGCTCCTAGTGTGGGGCGGTGGTGAGATAATTGCGTGTCAGGTGTGCTGGGAGGCAGGGCCAGAGGTCGAGCATGGAAAGCAGCCAAGAGGGTAGGTATCTCCTAATTATTGCTGGCACGGGAGTGTTTTATTCCATTTAGAAAATGGTGTGATTGTTTTAAAGAGTGTGTGTGTGTGTGTGTATGAAAACAGCCAGGTGGGTCGATCCAAGCCGCGTGGGCGGTGTTCTCTAATTGCCAGACCGGACTTTCTTTTGCCAATTAGGTGGCCTCCTTAGGCTTGCCCTTTTCTAACAGGATTGCTCCACGGTGCACCTTCGCTCTGTGTAACCTCTTTCATACCGAGTGGAGCTGCTTTCAACATGTCAATTCCACCTTGGCACACGCAGGCACTTTCAACAGGCTGCGCTGAGGTCAACATCAGATACTGACACTGACACTGGCGTGAAAAAAACACCAGGGATGTCTTCTCCCCCAAAGTGGATTCTGTCGACATCCACGCCTTGTTAGAGGTGCCCTTCAAACCTGTGTGTTTGGGTGGAAAGCACGGTGGTTGGGCGGGTTCCCAGCTCAGAGGTGGTGTTTGTTGAGAACTTATGGTTTTCCTCATACCGCACACAGAAATGAACTCGAGATGAATCATAGACCTAAATGGGTAGGCTAAGACAATAAAACTCTTAGAAGAAAGTATGAGTAAATATACATGACCTTGGGTGAGGCAAAAATCTTCCTAAATATAACACCCAATGCATAAGTAGCCAAAGAGAAGAAAAAAAAAAAAAGAAATTGGACATCAGCAAAATTAAAAGATTTTGTGCTGTGAAGGACATCAAGAAAGGGAAAAGACAACTTGCAGATATTTACAAATCTTGTATCCAGTAAGAGGCCTGTATCCAGAATACATAAAGAACGCTGACAACTCAATAATAAAAATGCAGTCACATTTAAAAATGGGCAAAGGATTTGAGTAGACATCTCTCTAAAGAAGGTAGACAACTGGCCGATGAAAAGATGCTCAATGTCATTCACCATCAAGGAGATGCAGATCAAAACAGAATGATACCACTTCACATCCACTGGGATGGTTTTAATAGGAAAAAAAATGCACCATAATAACAAGTGCTAGTCAGGATATAGAGAACTAGAATCCTCATATGCTGCTGACTCGACTATGACATGTGTGGCTGCTTTGGAAAATAGCATGAAAGTTCCTCAAAATGTTAAACATGGAGTCACCATGTGAGTACAAACCCAAAAGATGTGAAAGCAGGGACGTGAACAGGTATGTGCACATCCATGTTCATAGAGGCATTATTCACAATAGACAGAAGGCAGAAGCAACTCAAGGGTCCATCAAGTGTCCATTAACAGATGAATGGGTAAACAGAATGTGGTATATCCATACAATGGCTATCATTTGGCCATAAAAAGGAATGAAATACTGATGCGTGCTATAACATGGATGAACTTTGAAGACATTATGCTAAGTGAAAGAAGCCAGTCACAAAGAATGATATGTGATATGATGCCATTCATATGAAATGTCCAGAATAGGCACATTTGTAGAGGCAGAGAACAGGGTTGGGGGGCAGAGGTTGCGGAGAAATGGAGAGTGGCTGCCCATGGGGATAGGGGTTTCTTTTGGGGGTGATGAAATGTTCTAAAGTTGGATTCTGGTGATAGTTGCACATATTAAAAATCACTAAACTGTACACCAGAAATGGATGAAATGGATGGTATGTGAATTATATCTCAATAAAGCTGTGTTGTTGTTTTTTTTTAAAAAAAAGAACTATTATTTATCAAATTACTACATTCATTCTTATAATTCGGCACCTGGGAGTACTCTGCTACTGTTTTAGGAAGTCAATAAATATTTGGTGACTACATGGAGAGCTAGATGGAAGTTAGATGCAAAAAGTGCAAAAATATATATATTAGAGGCCCGGTACACGAAATTCATGCACAGGGGGAAGGAGGTTCCCTTTTCTGCACCCTCTAATCTGGGACACCTCAGGGAATGTCTGACTGTTGGTTTAGTGGGATGGGGTCTAAACCAGCAGTCAGACATCCCTCTCACAATCTGGGACAGCTGGCTTCTAACCACACACCTGCCTGCCTGCCTGATCGCCCCTAACTGCCTCTGCCAACCTGATTGCCACCTAACAATTTCTTTGCTGGCCTGGTGCCCCCCAACAGACCTCCCCTGCCAACCTGATGGCCCCCAACTGCTCTCATGGTCCCCACCACTATGGCTTTGTCCAGAAGGTCCGGAAGTTGGCCAGTTGACCAAGTTTTATTAGCATATTACCCTTTTATTATATTTCATACATATATATTTAGGGAAAGAAACATCAATGATGAGAGAGACTAGGCCCCCTACTGAGGATCAAGCCCAAAACCCAGGCTCCTTGTTCATGGACCAATGCTCAACCACTGAGTCTCACCAAGCCAGGCACCAATAGTTGTGCAGGTCAGTGTTTGTCTTTGGTGACTTTCTTAGGCTAAATTACTAGAAATAGAATTTTCGAGTCAGAGTGTGCACATTTTAAAACGTTTTTATTGATCTGAACTCTCAGCTTGCCCTTTGAGAAGGTTGTACCAACATATCTTGACACTGGAGTGTGTTTATTTCCCCGTTTGCTACAAATATTGTCTTTTTTTTTTTTTTTTTTGGCAACTTCATTGATACCACATTAACATCTTCATTTTCATTTCTTTCCTCATTATTGAAGTTGGATTTTTTTTTATGCATTTGTGACCCTTTTCATTGATGCCAAAAGGTGTGTGATACTGACTGGAAGTGCGTCGAGCAGGTACAGGATGAAGATGTCTTTGTCGCCTGGAGGTGACAGGTGGAAGCTGCTTCTCGCCAAACTCCATCACTGCTGGGAAGGAGTGGTAAAGTGGAGGGAAGGCGTTCTTTCTCGGGTCTAATGACCGTTTGTCTCCCACGTAGGTTCTTAAAGGTGGCCAGGAAGCGCCCACCAAGCCCAAAGGTCGCCCCAAGAAGAACTCCATCCCCACCTCTGAAGAGATCGAAGCCGAGGAGAAGATGCACAGCCAGGCCCAGCACCAGGAGTGCCCCACGCCCTCGCCGGGACAGGAGGAGCCCTGTGATACCCAGGAACCTGCAGCCTGCCACGTCCCGTTGGAGGTGGTGGAGCCTCCGGGCCAGCCCCAGGAGCTGCCAGTAGCCTCTTCGGAACCCCCGCCACCGCCACCGCCACCGTCAAGCTAAAAGAAAACTATTGGAGGGGCAGGGGAGCCTGGGAAAAAGGGAAAGAGAGAAGGCAGGAGGATAGGAGAGCCAAACGCCCCAGAGCCTGGTAAAGGGAGGCAGAAGAGAGCCACCTGCCTCCATCCCTCCCTCTCTCCCACAGGTCTCGGTGGCATTTTCACCGCAAGCATTTGAGAAGACTGTCTTGCCTTAAGCCTCTCTCTCTTCCTGAAAGGATGCTTTAGCCACAGGATTGCCCTGCATAAAGGGAGACGGTGCCATCGAACTGCCTGCCCCCGCTGAAGGCTGTGGCCCTGGGTGGGCAGCCCACCTGGCTTGGTGGAGGGCAGCTCAGCTCTCTCCCTTGCCAGCCTCTGGGCAACCAGTCGGCAAAGCAGAAAGATGCGGAGGGCCAGGGCAGCTTGCTCAGGTTCCTTGCTGACTCGGCACTTATTTCTGTAGTTTTTAAAAGAGGATTTCAGGTTTTTTGGTTGTTGTGGAGGGGTAGGGTGGTTGATGAGGGCGGGCTGGAAAGAGTCTGGGGAAGGGAGTTCTGAGTTATTCCCATTGTTTCTGAATAAAGTTTGCTTGTTTGAAGACACGTGTGCCTTGGAGCCCCTGATGAGGTTGTCAGGTGATTTGAAAGAACTGAGCAGCCTTGTTATTTTCTCACTTCAGTGAGTTGCCATCCTTGAAGCTGCCATGCGGACATGTTAAGATAACTTTTATTTTGTAATGAAAAATAAATCTTTCCAAAGGGTCGGGTGCATTGGTTTCTTCGGCGGAGCGCGTGCGACTCCTCTTGACTATCTCATGGAAAGAGAGGTCCCGGAGACAGAACCCCGCTCCCCGGGCTGTGGTGTCTCAGGGCAGAGGGAAGACCCACCAGTGCCCTTGGGTGACGACAGGGCAGGTGGTGGGGACTCCTCTCACCCAGCTCCCACCACCTCCTGCCAGCCCAATGCCATCAGGCATGGAACAGTCTGGGCTTCCACCTTCAAACATGACCCTACGTTTTCTGGAGAGAGAGTCAACGCATGTGCTTCAAAAATCAAGCTGTGTTATGAAAATATCTTGCAGCCCTTCTGCCCCCTCTGCCCTGTGCCCACCGCCCCCTCCAGGTAATGAATGTTGATTTGGTTTCTAGATTATGTTTCTGTACTCAGGGTACACTTGGATGACAGTTTCTGCAGCTCCTAACAGAAGGAGATTGGAGAAGGACTTGGCCAGATGTGCTCCGTGATTTCAAGTTTGAAAGGATGCCCCTCTTTTCGGAAGCCCCGGGAAGAGGCGGGCGGCAGACGTCCTACAGAGAATGCGGACTCTCAGCTGACTGCCCTGTAGACCGGCCCAGAGGCTGGTCCCCTGGGAGTTCACAGTCATCCTCCCCGGCGCGTTCACTTGTGATGTCCTCCAGGGCAGACCGCCTGTCATGAGCACTGTCCATGACTACTTACACGGTCCCTGTGCCCAGCATGGGCTCAGCGAATAGCAAATGACTTTAATAATGGCTCCACTAGGAAGCAGAACCTGCTTCTAGTTCTGCAAAGCGAACCGTGCCACTCTTCTCAACGTGAAACAGGAATTGGCTGCTTGTGTCCAGCACTCAGGCCGTCCACCCCCCCGCACCCCCTGCATCCCCCGTCAGCGTGGACAGTGAGCACATGATTGCCGTGTGACCTGGCCGAGGCCCTCCCTGCCTGCACTGCTTTCGCAGTGGAGATCCACAAAGAGAGCGCAGTCTTTAGCCTTGACTCTGGTGAATAGACAAAGGAGGGAAGGCTTTGGCCTTGAGAACAGGTCTGTGCAGGTCACACCCAGCGTCTGTGCGAGGTCTCTTGTGTGGTGTGTGCAGAAGCCTCGGGCCTGCCTCCTGCCTCAGCTCTGTAGAGCTGTGCCCTGTGACCCAGGGTGGGCCAGGCTGGGCCTTCCCAATGCCAGAGGACACTGGTTTGGCATGGAGCCCTGCTCCCTCCTCTTTCCCTTTTGCACCCAGCACCCTCTGCACCATATTCTATGCATGTAGGTAGATAGGTTGTTCTGTGCAGAGTCCTGAGCAGGGCCATCCAGTTCCCTCCTCACTTTCTCAGCTTCTTTCCAGGATTTCCCAGTCATTTCAGGGGCAAGAGGGAGGGCAGAGCCAAATCTCTGTCATCTGCAGACACCTTCTCGTCACCCTGGGTAGCAGGGCTGGGCCCGTTTCCCCAGGGGCCAGAGGGCAAGGGTGATGGAAGTCCATACGTGAAGGCCTCCATGGCTAAGGGTACGTCTGCCCCATTTTGCTCATTCCTGTGAGGAAAGGTCCTGAGGAAGATGCCCTCGGATTTCCTCTCAAGGGGACCGCAGGCCGTGTGGCGGCAGCTTGGGAGGAAGACAATGCCCACTGAGACATTTGTCTAAGACAAAAAGTAAAAGCCTGTCTGGGCCAAAGTCATGGCCGTGCATTGGTGAGATCGTTTGACTTGGTTCGTGAGGTGATGTTAGGAGATGGCTGAGGGAGGTGCGTCCATCCTAGGGAATGGTTAGAGGGCAAAGGCAAAGGTCATAGCTGGAGTGAAATCTAAGACCTTGGGTGCACCATGCTAGTGCTACTGGAGGGGTGGGGTGCAGCAATATGTCTTCCCCTTCCCCTCCTCCTCATTCTCCTCCTCTTCCTCCTGTTCTTCACCTCAGGCTATTTTTCCCATTGAATTTTAGAAAGAGTGGAAGGAAGGGAGAGAAAAAGAGAGAGAGACTTTGATGTGAGAGAGACATTGATTGGTTACCTTCTGCATGCACCCTGACCCAGAGCCACAGATTGAACCTGCAACCGAGGTACATGCCCTTGGCCAGAATTGAACCTGAGACCCTTCAGTCCTTGGGCCGACACTCTAATCACTGAGTCACACCAGCCAGGGTGAGCTTGAATATTCCTGGAGAACCTTCCACTTTAGTGAGTTTGGGGCAGGGGCAGAGGTTCAGCTAGATTTTTGCGAATTTCCACCTGCCCTCACCTGTGAGATGTCCTCTCTCTGGGCAGGGAAGGGCATTCGTGGGATGTACATCCCTCAGCATGCGCCACCCTTCCCCCCCCGGACCCCCCCCAACATGCCCAGCCCTAACTAGGGCTGCTAGGAGAGGGTTAATTCTTAGGCCCCTGCGCACCTGGAAGGGTGATTAACACTGGAGCAACAATTCACCTGGCTATGCCTCTAATCCCAGATTGTCACCCAAATCTTGGGTGGAGGTGGCTGGGGAGGGAGAGATCTGGTAATGCCATTGGTAATCTGGGTGTGGATCCCGAGGGGAAGTGTGGGCACCAGCCTGGTTTTGCTTCTTTGCGTTCTGTGCTGGCCTCTCAGCGGGCAGTGCAGGCCAAGACCTCCCCTGCCTCCTCTCCCACCGCCTGCCTGGTCATTCATTCAGTCGAGCCCACCCAGCAGTGCTCTGGAGGGGCCTCCCTCTGGCTGCCCCGGTGGCAGCCTCTGGCAAACCCAGGTCAGCAGCGGCCAGGAGGGGCCGGCGCTGCGGTAAATCACTGTGACAGGCGCCTTTCATACCTGACCTCCTCTCGTTCCCAAACCTCTTCCCTCCTGTTTATTTTGGTTGCAGATTTATTAGACACACAGTTAAGTGCCCATTTAGCTCTGCAAACTGTCAGCGCGACCGCTCCGTGAATAAGGCCATTCACTGACAAAAGCCCTTAAACATTTTAGAAAGAGAAGGAGAGAAGGAAGGGGGAGGGGGGGGGAGAGGAGGAGGAAATAGCGCCCCAGGTCAGCGAGGAGGCCAAGATCAACCGAAACCCAAGTGCCAGCCTCTCCTGCAGCCCAAGAATGTAACAAGGGCCCTCAGAGGAATCACCCTGCTCAGCAAGAGGTGTGTCATCTCTCCACAGGCTGCGGGGGTCTAGAGTTCACTCCTTTGTCTCAGAGCCTGGGAGCGCACCGCCGGGCAGGCTGAGCGGCTGTGCACCTGCTCGGGGCGGTTGCCAACAACCTGGAGGCATGTCAGGCTGAGTCCTCGCCCCTTGGGAGCCCTCCTCCTGCCTCTGCTCAGGCTCCCCTCCTGCAGGTGGCATTTCTTCCTTCAACACACACACATGGCTCTGCGGAATGTGGCAAGACCCTAGTGCACTGTCTTTGTACACCAGCCATCATGGCATCTAATGATCTATGCAGCCCTCTGAAGTAGGCTCTGCGATCACCTCCACTCGGAGATGGGGAAGCTGGGACCACGTGGTGGAACAACCCATAGTTGCCTAACGCAGCTGGGCGGATGTACTTGCCATCATGCCTGGTCTGGGCCTGTGCCTACTTGTGAGAAGGCTGAGTTGACCAAGCCGGATCTCAGGACAGAGCCTTAAGGTAGACGGGCCCTGTGTCCCTCAGCTTCCCCTGCACGTGCTCCTGCACCTGCTCCCACACTGTTGTCACTGGGGTATCTCTCACAATGTGGGGTGCAGACAATATAGCTCAGGGTCCCTCCAAGCGTGAGTGATCAAGCCCTCTATCCACCCGGACCAGCAACAGTGCAGGTCCCGTCCATCTCTTACGGCGTGCAGTCCAGGGTGTATGAGTGTGTGTAAGGTCATCCTTCTTTTGCAGTGGTGCAAGCATCCGGAGGGGACTCAGAGAGAGGGGTCAGATCTGAAGCACAGGAACAGAGCCGTGTCCTCACTATGGCGTGGCAAGCAGTGCCAGGGGTCATCGGCTTCCACCCCAGAGTGGGAGGGGCATAGAGAGAAGCTGGTAGAGCCCCGGTAGACGCTCCCTGGAATGCTGAGCCCTCTGCTCCAGCACTGGGTGCAGATGCTGCTCTTTCTCGGCAGTTCTTGGGATCACCTCTGAGGTCTAAGCCAGACTCAGAGCCCCGCCTTTCGGAGGCCCTGGAGCTCACCTTCTCTTCCTCCGCCACCTCCTCCTCTTCTTGGTTTCTCTTCCAGTCATTTATTTCTTTGTATTTGCAGTTTGTGTTCAATACAAATACAGGCCATAATAGGAGAAAATCACTATGCATCAAAGCATAGTTACACAATACAA